ATTAAACTGAATTAAAACTGATTTGTAAATAATTAATTATGATAAGTCAATTGGGGGGCTATTGGATGTTTAAAAATGATCAAAAAGATTTTAATATTTAAAAGCAAATTTTCAGTTTTAATATTGTATTAATAATTCATTTTAATTTCCTTGCTCAGTTTAATATATTCACAAATTCAGATTTAAAAACAAATAAGTCATATAAATATTTCAACATTTCTGATTTTCCATATAACCATAGGAGAACGATTTGAGACTATCTGTGTAAAAAAAGTAGGTTTTAGACATCACACCTTCACATACTTTCACTGGAATTTTCCTCTGTATATATACTGGGATGTGACACTAAGCAGTTGAGAGTATGTTAAGAGTTAAAGGGATATTGTAATTAGTGTTTCAATCCTGATAACATCCCATACGCTGTCGGTAGGACGTAGATAGGATTCCTAAGGATATACTGGGATGTGACATTAAGCGCTCAGGATGAGTTTAGGAGGAAATTGGGATATTACGGAGTCCTGAGGATGTAGTAAGTAGGACTTTAAATCCTAATAACAGCCCATATGCTGTCGATGGGACATAGGTTTTTAGGATATAATGGGATGTGCTTGAGGTTTGTGGGATGTCCTGAGGATGTAGTAGTAGGTTCATATCCTAATAACATCTCGCACGCTGTCGATGGGACTTGGTTAGGATGTCCTGAGATATCCCGGGATTTGACATTACACTCGGAGGAGGTGTTTAAGGGTTCGCGGGATGTCCTGAGATGTGCGCATATCCGCGAGCAACATCCTTGGGATATCCCAAGGATGTTTTTGTGCTATGTGGGAATGCATATTCGTTATACCAAAGAAATATCAATTGAGAATTTTATTGATATATCTACCAGTTAACAGCCACGGAAAATGGAATTCAGGAATATTTTAATTCCCTAACTAAAATGAAAGGGCAGAAAAATTTTCGCTTTTTTTTTTTCCTTTTTATTTGCAATTTAATTTTATGTCCAAAATAAATGATGCACTTACAACGTTTACATATTTATTTCAATATCTTTATTATGTAAGTACATAGAATAGAGATATAGATTTTATATATTTATTTACCTTTATAGTAGTATTATGAAACCAAAGTAACATGAATTTCAAAATATTTTAGTATTTCTTTTGTATGTATGTGAGTGTGTACATCAGAAATGAACGTAAAATACTAGAAGTACTTTTACTAGCATTCTTCTATTTTTGTTATTTCTTTTATTATGCTTTTTAAAATTGCTTTAATGAAGGTTAAAGCGGTTAATGTGAGAAACAAAAATATTGAGCCATGCATTTAATATATTTGTAAGGTAATAATTATAAATATGATGATAAAATGCAGTATGTCCACAATTATGTTACATAATTTTGTTATTAATAAAATTTATAATGTAATTGTTATTTATATTAAGATAACTGTCATTAACATAATATATTCGCCACGTAATAGCTACCCATATAGTAGAAGATACTGTAATAGGTAGAACAGTATAGTATAGGAGTCGTAGCGGGCATTCCCTTCTCCCCTGTATTTTGAGCTGGCTACGCCCATGCGTATCTTAGCTTTAAAGAAAATAATTTTTTAACTATATTGCTCATTTTCGATTGTATTGTTTAAATATCCATTTCTTTTTTAATTACTTCTAATTTAATTTAGGTTCAAATTTTAAAATTAATTTGAGATATCCATTCTTAAGCGATTCCTCACGTTTAGACTGTTAGCTGTTTTGTACTAAATTTTTTGAGTTGACAGTTAATTTTTTTAATTCTTTTTTTCCCCCTTAATTGTGAACATTTTAATTGAGGAGTTCTTTCCAGCGAGTTTTCCGTTCTATGTGGTGGATATGTTTCAGATTCTGATTACTTAAGGAAGCCTTGTTCTTTTACTGTTAAATTTATTTGTGTTGTTATTTAAAAAAATGCCGCTGCTTCGATTTTTACGTCATTGTCATTGCTTTAGATCTTAGCAATTATTATAATCAGTAGTATGATTTTAATTTCTTTCTGTGTTTCGGTATCCAGTATACACTGGTGTGCAAAAATTAAGGACGAGACGGTTTTTTCAATATAACTTATAATTATTTTTTATATATTTTTTAAAAATTTTATTTTTGATAACAAAAGCTTTCCAAATCAACACATTTAATACCGTAAGATCCCCAATACGTAAGGACATGAGTAATGTAAGCAACACTTACTAAAAGGAAATAAGAGGGATAAAAAGAAGCTTTATTGAAAAGTAGCATGGAGCGCAATGCGACTGAAGGCCGAAACATCCTTATGATGAGTATCCAGCAAGAAACATCCGGTCTTTAATAGGGGATATGATCTCCCCTGACTGCTAGACAGGTTTCACAGCGTATGCCCATGCTGAGAATGAGGGTGTCAATGAGTTGTTGAGGCATTGCTGCCCATTCATCTTGCAGCGCCAATCGAAGCTCCGGAATCGTTACTGGTGGTAAGGTACGAGCTGCCAAGCGTCTGCCTAGAAAATCCCATACATGCTCGATGGGATTGAGATCCGGAGATCGTGCCGGCCAATCCATACGTTCAATATACTCACTCTCTAAGAGCTGTTCGGCAGCTACTGTGCGATGACATGGTGCATTGTCGTCCATGAAAAGGAACTGCGGACCCACAGCGCCTCTAAAAAGACGCACATATGGAAGAAGAATCTCGTTACAATAACGGGTCCCGTTGACTGAACCAGAGTCGAAGATGTGAAGGTCTGTACGACTACCAAGGATGATGCCTCCCCAAACGAGAACACCGCCACTTCCATACCTGTCCCTTTCAATGATGCTCGAGGGATGATTGCAGCTTCCCCGCTCTCTCCAGATGAGTATGCGATGAGAATCGCTACTGAGACTGAATCTGATCTCATCTGTAAAGAGTACTTGTCCCCATTCATTGTCTCTCCAATTCCGGTGTTCCCGGCACCACAGAGAACGCCTTCTCCGATGGGCAGGCGTTAGACGTACACACCGTACAGGGCGTCGTGCAAACAGACCACCACCGTGCAGTCTTCTGGCCACGGTAAAACGCGATATTGGTCGTCCAGTCGCCTGTGTCGTGTGTCTAGCGATTTCTCCCACTGTCTGCCGCCTGTTTCTTCTGGCTTTATATTGCCTAAGGCAATATACCGGTCATCTGCGAGTGTGGTTCCTCGTGGACGACCACTACTAAACCCCGGATTCCTGTAGTTTGAAATTGTCTCCAAAGTCGTGAAAGGATGCTGTGAGCAATTCCGAACTCTGCAGCCACACTTGTCACACTGCGGCCTTCCTTCAACTTCCCAATGATTCGACCTGGGGTAAAAGCATCCAGATATCGTCTAGCAGATTGATTATTCGCCATTTCTCGCTGAGGCAGCAACTCGGTGTGATTTTAACTGCTATACGGCGTGCAATCTGTTTGCCAGAAATACTGATCTTACACCGACAACATGCTTTATACTACTCAGACACTCCCCCATTACGTCTACCTGCATATCTGCGCATATGCTACCGTACATCCCCTTACTTAATCTCCTGATTGGTCTTTCTGTTCGCTCTGCCTCTTCGTTCAGCTGATATGCTAATTTTTCGATTTCGTCCTTAATTTTTGCACACCAGTGTATGGTGCGCAAGCTGCAAGTTCTTTGGTTCGATTCATTTCACCTAGACTGGGGGGGGAGGAACTACTTAAAACAAAATGCAGGGAGTGAGGTTTGGGAGGTCCCGAAGCAATTTTTTTTTTCTCCTTACCCTTTTCTTACTGGCGCTGGCGCCTTGAAAAGGAAAGCCCATGTAAACAATTGCCATGCATTCTATTTACCCTACAGGGGAGGTGAAAAGTTGAACATAACAGGGGACGTGCGGTCTCAGAGACCGCGCATTATAATAATTTTTTAAAAATCGTCTAATTAAAATATCATCATGATATTTCACTTAGATGTTCTTTGAACATTTTACTCTGAAAAGAAAATATGTTTTTACACTTTAAAGTGAAATTAAATTTTTCCCAGAAAATTTCCCCATAGCCTTAAATTTTTCGATGAAAATCATATGCTGCACTAAATTCTATAAAACTAAAAATAAGAATGCATCTATTTTGAATTAACTATTTTATCTATATTATTTAATATTTAAAGCAAATTTTAACCGGAGAAAATTGTATGTAGCACAATACAGAAAAATTTTGACAGTACCTGAAATATCAGTATCTCACTGATTTTCTGATAGTAAACAATTTAGTTTTCGTCTTCTTTAGCAGCACATTCATTGCATAACTTTTGCGTGCATTCCAAACAAACAGGGTCTTGGCAAGATAAACATAAATATGCTGCTGTCTTTCTTTTCTTGCTTGGGGGGCACAGACGACATGTTTTCCTTGATTTTAATTTTGCTTCTTTTGTGCACTGCTCCACATCCTTAGACTCAGCTTCTTTTCCTAAAATCCGCTTTATCGTCAGGCGCAATTCTCGATTTATTCTTGGATTTTTCACTCTCGTGTGTAGTAGTGGTTGGACTAATTCTCTCGCTAATTCTTTCAAAAACACCATTCTGGTCATAACAGGGTTTTGGTTATAACCTTGGTGCAAAATGTATGCGTTTACTGTACTCATATCTACTAACCGGTAGAAAAGAGCCATAGGCCAACGCGTTGTTCTCCTACTACAGGAATGGACAGAACATTTTTCATCTAAAGCATCAACACCACCTTTGGTTCTGTTATAAAAAGCAATTATTTCAGGTTTCTGTGTTTCCGAGTCTGTTTCTATCGAATGATGCAATGATGACATCAAAACCACTGCTCGCCTTTTCTTTGGAACAAATGAAATCAAGGTTATGTCCTTAGTAAATCCATACAATGTTGAATTCTCTTTTCTTGACTTACATGGAAGAAAATCTTTCGGAATTTCTTTTTTATTTTTTTTAACAGTTCCAACGTATGTCAGTCCATTTTTCAACAATTCTGTGGTAAGTTCTATGGAAGAAAACCAACATTCCTGTTCGTATTAAAAATTGGTTTGCTCAAACGCAGAACAGCTTGACTTGGTTTGCTGAATTTTTCCCAATTCTCTTCTACGCTAATTCCATCAGAGTCTTTTCCACAATAAAGATATGCATTGTAAGCATAATTATTCCGGGCATCAGTCAAACACATAACTTTTAATCCATATTTCACAGGCTTTTGGGGCATATACATTTTAAAGCGACACTTTCCTCTGAATCCAACAAGCATTTCATCAATGCAGACGCAAGTGCCTAATGTGTACGCTTTCTGGGAGTTATAAATGAATAAATTCATCACTTCAGAAATAAGTGCTGCCGGATCAGATTTCTTTCGTTCTTCCCTATCATCTGGGTTATCAAATCGCAAATTTGAAAGTAAAAATTTAAAACGTTTCATTGACATAACTGCACGAAAAATATCGCGGCCAGTTCCATCCGTGGCAAATAAACATTCAATATCTTCATGATTGGATTTGAAGACTGATGTGTAAATAAGTAAACCCAAAAGAGCTCTCAGTTCATCAACACAGGTGTAGTCAATTTCACCTTTAATCGGACCACATATATTTTTTTATTTTTCTTTCAATTTTTAGATTTGTCCATTTCACAATTATGCTTAAAAGTTCGTCAGTAAAAAGTAGTTGCCATACATTTTTGGGATCTGAATTATCAATTTTTCCGTAAGGTCTTAGTCCAGGAAGTCTTACGATATTGTGAGCTGGCCTTCTAACTTTTCGATTTGGTTCAACGGATGACCATTTGAACCGATTTTTTCCATAGTAGTATTTTACGGAATTAGTTGTTTCTAGATCAGAGAAATCATTGCTGTCTGCAGAAAATTCAGAGTCTGTTGAGTGGGCACTTTCGCAGAAATTTTCTTCACAGTCATCTTCTTCACTAAAATCACTTCCAACTTCGTCTAGAATTTTTTTCAGTTCTTCTGCATAACGCGGATCAGAAGGATAAATGAATCTCCGCGGACCTAACTTCAGAGCCATGTGTTCACTACTGCCGAAAATTGTAACACTGAGAGGGAGGTGAGGTCTCACAGACCGCTCTAGAAGAATTTCAACAGATACACTTGCCAAAGCATTCCGATAAGAAGGGGTCAGAAAGAAGGTCACGAAACGTGAAGCTAGGGGAAGAATCCATTCAATTGGACAAAGCATGCAATAGGGGTGATGGGAGGAACATGTGGCGCGGTTCGTCAGACCGCAAGTCCCCTGTTACGGGTTAAGCCTAAAAACGTTTTTTTTATTAATATTTTATTGATACATATTAACATAACACATTTTACGTGATTTAAAAAATCTTTGAGCCGCAAAAATAGCATAGAAATGATGGATGCCCCAAAAATTTCGCAAAATCGCAAATGCTAAAATTTTAGTAGCACGAGTTTGTCAAAAGTCGCAAATCTGCGAAAAACCGCACTATCTGGCAGCACAGATTCTGTGACTTTTTAGAGAACGTTCTCCTTTCTGGACACTGTTATGAGATCATTATGTGATCTAGCTTCTTTAATAGCCAAAACAATAATTAATTATTAAAAATTATATATTTGTTATTAAATCGTGTTATAAAGCATTAGCATCTTTTCTTGCTTACACAAGAAGCTCAAGCAATCGAACTGATTATAAATATATGTGGAACGCAAATAATCGCTGTTTCCACAGTATTTTTAAATTAATAAAAAATGTTCTCAGAGAGAAATGACTGCATAAAAAAAATGAAAGCGTTCACTTCATTTCTGTAAATTACGATTTCATTTCTGTAAAAAACTTTTCTAAAAGGTTAAAGTTTCTCGTAATTTCGTGTGTGGGGGGGGGGGGGAGTAAAATTCAATCACTACACAGATCCTCAAATTAAAAGCATCTGCAAACATTCAAATAATTTTCCTGTTTTAAATACTTTGTTTAAGAGCTTCTGTTATCAGGTTCAGTGTTCCGCCTTACTTGCTTGGGGAACATTCAACAACCTGACTCGGAACAGGGAGCTTACTAAAGCTATGTTCAATAAATGTGGGAAGTAGACAAGATACACAGGAAGGGTATACGAAGCCCTTTATTTTTCACTCTTTACAATAATTTCCGGACTTCGGAATACAGAGACCAACCACTTGTGGTCTGAACGTAAGAATATAAAAATATTAACTAAACTCTAACTTAACTTTGGAATAATAAACAAGGGCCTACGTGGAAGATTGGCCGTATATTAACAGGAAGCCGTATGTAGTACAGAGAACTGTTAACACTACAATACGTTTAAAAATTATCAAGAGGATTAAACCTCTGGCCTGGAAGGCAACCAGCAACCAGTAAAACTGCTAAGGCAAGCGGCCTGCTTCTACTAACTTCTACTACAATTGTGCTACACTGGATAAAAGGCACGGCATCTAAGAAGCAATTTGTTTCAAACAGAATATTACAAATTCATGAAACTACAGATCCCAGTGCATGGAGACACTGTATAGGTAAGGAAAATCCCGCGGATTTGTTAACAAGAGAATTAACTAGTAAAGATTTGATAACTTCAAAAAAAAAAAAAATGGTTATTGTACCCGGAGAATATTTGGCCCCAGCCTAAGAGATTTGAATATGACTCAAAAGACCAGGAGATTGAAGCTGAATATAAATCTTTTGCTATAATTAGTTCCGCAATTGTTTCCAAACAGATAATTGATGTTAATAAGTTTAGTTGCTTATGCAAACCACTAGGTGACTTTTTGGGAATTGCGGTTTGTTGATGTTCTTAGGAGGAAAACTGAAGAATATAATCGTGCTGAACAGTTTTGGGTTAAAGCTGTGCAAAGGGACGTTTTCTCTGAGGAAATTAATTGTTTGAAGAATGGCAAGCCTTTACCAAAAGACTAAGTTGTTGAGCTTAAACTCATTTTTGGATTATGAAGATGTATTGCGAGTGACAGGAAGGCTTGAGAAAACTCATTTATCTACCGATGAAAAACACCCTATTATGCTATCGTCAAAATCTAAACTCACTGAATTAGTGATTTGGGAATCCCATAATAATGTATTTCATTCCGGCGTATCTCATACGCTGGTGCAGGTGAAAGAAAAATACTGAATACTAAAGGCCAGACAAGTTATAAAATCTCTTCTATGTAAATGTGTTATATGCAAAAGTTCCAGCATTTCTCCAGGAGATCAGATGGTTGATCAATTGCCTGCTCTCCGAATGGAACACTCAGCCCCATTTACAGTTAATGAGATCGACTATGGTCCGTTATTTGTAAAAGGTACTAAAAACAAACAATGTATTCTATTGATAACTTGTGCTGTTGCAAGAAGTGTTCATCTGGAGCTAGTTAGTAATATGACCCCAGATTGCATTTTTTGCTTGCCTTCCGACGTTTTCTACGTATCTCGAAGAGGACTTGCAAGGTAAAAACGAATCATCGGTTATGAGACGTCCTGTACAACTTTTGTACAATTTAAAACTTCAGAACTAAAGTGTTTATCTTCAGTGTTAATTTACAAATATGCATTGTATATCTTTTTATGGCTGTTTATTTATTTTTTTTTTGAATTATTCTGTTAAAATTTGTAATTCTAGTAACTTCCATGCACAAATTTAATAATTTAAAATGTACTTAAGTTCACAGAGTCATTGTATACTCTCTTAGGGGGCCATTAAATAATCTTCTAAAAAGGTGAATATTGCTTTTTTGAATTTGATAATGTTATGTTTAAATTGCTTAATGTTTCATTTGAATTTTCAGTTATTTAGATGATATATATATATATATGTGTGTGTGTGTGTGTGTGTGTGTGTCTAGAACTCGATTTTTTTTAGTATGAATGTATACTGTTTATATACAAGTTTGATGAACCCCCTGTGGTTCATGGAGGGGGCAATTTGTTAAAAATAAAATGATCATGTGATTAGAAGGCGTGATTAACGGTCGTCTGAATTCTTTTCCCAGCAGGCCTTGAGGCAAATGTTTATGAAAATTAGACTTTGGATTTGGGTGTAACATATTTTCTTCCTTACTAGGCTAGTTTTTTCCCTGTTCTCGGTTTAATTACGCATTATTGTTAATCTCGGATTAATTACGAATGGAATTTTCAGTATAATATGCTTTCTGTGTGTGATGTCAATAAAAATCCGAAAAAACTAGACAACATGGTCTTCATTCAAAAATCTCGTTCAATTTTCTACTGATGATAATAGTGATTTTTTTTTTTTTTTTCAGATGGCATTAGTGTTGTGATGTCACGTTAATCAGTAATCAGTGTAATGCTCTGCGATGTCACACAAACGTCTATGAACATCGAAAGAATAATACATATTCTTTGGTCACACGATCCTTCTAGAAAGTGCAGCAATGACGCAAACACGACTGCAATTCGGGTAACGAAAAAGCATTCTGAAATGTTATTGGAAGGTCAAGAATGTCAATGAAACGCAACGACAATGGAGGTAGGAATATAGAAGTGAAAGGCCAACACGAATAAACTCGCCTTTACGTTTAGGAAATGCAGAAATATTTAAAATAACTGATTCATACTAATCATCAAATGAAACAAATTATAGGATGTTTTTACCTTAATACAATTATTTAAATATATTGAAGCTGTGCAGTGTAAGAGAATTATTTAAAATTTATAGCTTAAAAATATCATAAAATTGTAAAGAGGTTATCACATATGGCGACAGCTCCTGCTAGACGGGACCTCTCTGAGAAACAAAATTCTGGTAGCATTGGCTTAAACGGGAGGATTCCTAAAAAAGACCTCCGCTGGAAGCGAAGAGTCGCCTAGCTACGGAATCGCTGTATCGGCTACGCGGGAGTTTTTCAAACCTCACCGAAAATGTCTCGGCTGGAGCTCTGTTCCAGATGTTTCTGTCCAGGTAGAGATCAACCAATCAGACGAAATTTCTGCTTCTGAAGGATCATATTATCCCAATCTGAGCGATAATCGATTATTGTTTGGCGTTCAAGTCTCTGTAGTAAGTAAAAATAGTAACTTAGCTATGATTTCCTGTAAATGCGCGGGTTCTGAGAATTGTTCCTTTCGATGTCGAGTTCCGTATAGCTGAAACATAAGGTGATAGGGACGTAATTTGTCAATGGAGAAATAATGGTGAAAGTGAATGCCTGTTTTGTATAACTAAATATAAATATATATTTCTTGTAATTTAGTTTCCATAAGAACGTTTTCCAGCTACCGATTTTTGTACGTATAATAACTATTCGTTCAATATTGCAGATTAAGCAACAAATAGCTAATTTGAAAACTAAGATTGAAGTTTACTGAGACTGTAGTTAGGAACTATGATTGGGATGATTTATAAAAGCTTTTAATTCAAAACGAAACATTTTCTTATACAGCAAAAATTTCAAATAGGAAAATGTCCTACCAGTGTAGTACTAAAATGTTTTCC